TAGTTTTAGAACATCTGAAGGAACCCCCAGGGCCTTGGCAGCAGCACCTTCCCAGAACTCCTGGTTGAAGCATGAGCGTGGTGGAAGGCACAGAGGTGAAATGCAACCTTCATGTGAGCTTCTGCTCCACACCACCTTCACTTCCAGCAATCAGCCTGTGATGGAGGAACCTACAATACCCCAGTGATCGTCCTCCTGACTGGTAATCCTGCAGGGATTGCCATGGTCAGCATAGCTGGGATGTTCTCTGCCTTGAGATTTTAGATGATGGATTTTCAGAGTGAAAGGGCAAGAGCTGACTCCATATTAATGCCAAACTTTAAATGTTTTGACTATACAACTGAAACACCATTACCTATTCCCCACAGAGCTCCACTCTTTCTTTCTCTCTCCTCCACTTCTCCTCTCCACACTGTAGCCTTTTGTATGTCTCAGGCATTAATCCCTCGCTGCCGGGGTGTGTAAATTAAAGAATAATAGAGCTGCAGAGGCATAAGCTTGCAATGATGGGGAATGTGTTTGTCTGCTAAGAAGCGATTTCAGCGAAAATTAACTCAATTTCATCTGAAATAGTGAAGACCGGCATAAGCTGGCAGATCCCCGAGGATGGTAAAATTACTTCGTCAAAGCTCTGCTTGCTTAAATTAACCAAGCAAGCACTCCAGGTTATTGGCAAGATGCAGCTAGTAACTAGGTTTTAATAAACAAAAATAGCTTTCTGGATAAATAAGGAAAGTGCAAAGTGTCTTATGTATTCTGTTGATGTTTTCATCTGTATGACCTCGACAGCAAGACCTTCACATTCCTGCAGGCGCATTCTTTGATTCCCTGTGTCCAACTGGTCTCTCTTCTGAGTCTTAGCAAACAACCTGAAAGTGCTTCTGGAGACGATGTAAGATTAGCTTTTATTCCAGCATCTAACAGGCTGTTTGCAATACCTAGGTGAGAGAACAGCAACACCTTTTAGGGTTATTTCTGTGTTTTTCAAAGTTGGAAGATGACTATTCTTGATTTAAATTGCTTCACCTCAAAATATAATGCAGTGTCAGGACAAGAGTTAGTCTACACTGTCACTGATACAGCAGATTCCCCAGCTGAATACATTGCTGCCAATTGGCAAGTCAGGATGTGAGCTCCCTCCTCCTGCTAGGAGTAAAGGTCCAAGGGAAGTGAAAATTTCATTGTCAGAAAGATTGATTCAAGGAGCAGCTCAGAGAGCTTGTTAATCACTTGAGAATATGCTGTAAGTTCTTTTGGTGGTTGTACTGTCGTGTTTGGTTTTATTTTTTTGGTTTTCTTTTGTTTGTTTGTTTTGACTTGGTGTGGGTTTTTTTGCTATTAATAGCTTTTCTTAGGACTGTGTTTTACAGAAGCATTGTGCTGTTGGAGGTTATGATCACTAGGAGGGGTCTTCTGTAAAATGCATGTTGGGCTTATTGCTCTGTCTCTAGTCTACAAGCATCAGGACAGATTTTTTTTTTTTTCTTCTGGATTCCGTTCCTCTCGGTACAGTGATTTGGGTTTTGGGAATAGTATTCATCAGAATATCAGAAATATCCAACCCCCAAAGCAGGAGGGTTGGAACAGGATGATCTTTGAGGTCCTTTCCAACCCAAGCCATTCTGTGATTCCATATAATTCAATGATCCTATGATCATGTAATTGGTTAGGAGCGTAAAAGGCTTAAAAACCTATTTGTTGGAAAAGAGTATGAAAAATCTCCTCAGAACTGCAAAAATACATCACTGTTTTGACTTTCTTAGGCTCCTGCCCCTCCATCAATATTCCATAAGCACTTGATATTCGAAAGCTACCCTTTGTCTGAATATAGAATCATAGAATCAGAATGGCTAGTGTTGGAAGGTACCTCGAAGACCATCTAGTTCCAGCACCCCTGCCATGGGCAGGGTTACCACCCATTAGATCAGTCTGCCCAGGATAGATTGCTCTGTAATGTTCTAACCAATGGGTGATTATTGTCAGTGGGTGATATGTCTGTTCTTGGCCACAGGCTCCCATTGAATGGGATCATTAATGGTTGGTTGAAAGAAAGGAGAGCTGCAGAACTGTCAGACCAGCCAAACCAGAGGATGAGATGAGACCCAAGCATACCTGATTTATCCCCTCCCCACTACACTCCCCTGGCTACTTATTTCCCCCCTCCCTTTCTACCATAAATCTCAGTATCTGCAGAAGGGAAAGCAGCTGTCTACAAGATTTGCTGAGCCATCCACTCATTAAAATGTTCCACTGGCAAATAAATACTTTCTCTTACTGTTGCATATTTACAGTTTGGAGATTTCTTGTATAGAACAATCCGAGGTTATACTTTTTAGCTTTGCTAGTTACAAATGTTGGGAGAAGACATCTGGCTAATGACCTTGGTTACTGCCATGAACCATAGTGACCTGTTTTGGGAGACAGCTGGCAGCCCCTCAACAACAACAACAACAACAACAAAATAGCAAAACAAAGGATAAAAAATACAGGACCTGCTCCATGCAAAATCACCTCTCTTTGATAGGACTGATTGCAGAAGTGACAAGAAACTTGTCATTAAATCCAGCAAATGCATTTGGAGCAATGAATAAACTGCCTGGAGCAGAAGTGTCCCATGGGTACAAACGTGCCCTGCTGAGACATTTCATCACAGCCCTCCTCTATCGGGCCGTCAGTCACTTTTATTTCTTTTCACTGCTAGTGCAGTGGCCGTGGTCAGAAAGGTGCTGGCTTTAAAACAACAGTGTCAAAACTGGTGAGGAAAATAAGAGAAGCCCACACTATCACCAGCCAGGCTGGCCCCTTTGCAGAGCTGCTATCTGCTCCCTGCACACTGCACCTGCATTGTGTCTGCTCCATAGGCTGATAAGACCCCACTCATCTATTGTCAGCCCCACTGAGCCAATCTAGCTCCATTTGAGCGAGCTGGATTTTGTTCTGCATCGTGTATCAGTGACAACTTCCAGCTATGGCCTTGCTTTAAAAACCTCACTGGTGAGGGTGCATGGAGCTTGAGGAGTGAGGCGTATCTCTAAGCACAAATGGAATTCAAAGCAACTGGAAAACAGGCTTTGAAAATGGAGGGAATATGCTGTGGAGGCTGTTAGAAGGGACAGGATAAACGTGGGACATCAGGATCACTGCAGCTGACGCTGCTGTACAGGGCTGTACCTGGAGGAGGAGAGTCACTGGATACAAAACACAGTGGTACGCCTGCTATAAAAGCAGCAGAAAGGGTGATCTGTGGTTGTGGCACAGCAGTGACACTGAGTGGCTGGAGTGTAGTGTAAGCGATCTTGGCTTGGAGCTCCATTTCTGCTGGATTTCTCCAGGGCTCTTGGCTGGAGAGGAGATTTTGCAGGGGTGTATTGAAGGAAGCCAAGAGAGTGGGGAGGTTGGGGGACTCATGCTGAGCCCTTCTCAGCCCTTTGGAAAGTCTCCTGTGGTGTGGCAGTGTCTGAGGCAGGAAACAGAAGAGATTTCTGGTGGGATATTAAGAAAAACTTCTCTGAAGGAGTGGGTGGGCACTGGCACAGGCTGCCCAGGGAGGTGGTGGAATCATTCCTGGAAGTGTTCAAGAGCCATGCAAGATGTGGCACTGAGGGACGTGGTTAGTGGGCAATACTGATGGGAGGTGGACGGTTGCACTAGATGGTCTTAGTGGTCTTTTCTAACCTAGATGATTCTAAGACTTACCTCCTGAGTTTCAAATAGATGGTCTCTAACTAAGCAGAGCTGCAGGCCAGGCCTCGAAGAACTACAGTAATTTGGACAGTAAATAAGATGGAGCCTTCAACTACATTTTTATTAATGAGATGACACATTTTAAAATCAAATTACTTTGATACTCTTGGCTCAGGGAAGTCAAGATGCAGGGGAAAGCCAATCACATAATATGAAACAGCTCACACAGTAGTTTTTGTGTATTTCATCTTTAATGAACCTGCCATTTTATGAGTCAGCACTGATGGGAAATGTGATGGTCTCATTTCAGGAATTCTCCTTACGCTTCAGGTCTCTGCCTGCCAAGATGTCATCGCCTTGCTCTTTGCTCTCGGACTGCCATGGTTCCCTCCAGCCCTTTTAGGCTTTCCTGCTTGAAGATTAACCCTACAGTCTCATGCTGGACAACTTAATTCAGCTGAGGAGAAACAGCAGTACATGACAGATAAGAAAGTAATTGCACCCTGAGGAAGCATGAGGAGTGCCTGCGTCATATACACTTGCTTTACAAAACAGCAGCTACTTATTCAAAGGAAGTGGCCTTTGGAATCACAAGCAGAGTACATGGAAAAGACATAGTTGCAGGAACCTCATTAGATTTCTAACATGGCTAAGCAGGGCAGGTTCTATCCTCGTTTTCTGCCATTAGAGATGGTGGAAAAACAGATCGTGTATCTCTTTGTTTTCCCGTGCTAAATATTTTGTGGCCAGATCACAGGAGGAGGGCAGAGAGATGGAAAATTCATGGTGAGAAGCCTGAGAGGAAGAGACAGGAGAGTTGGGATTAGGCAGTTTAGGGTGAGGAGGAGATGGTAGTTCCAAGATGGGGATGAGACTCATCTAGATTTGTTTTTCCCAGAGATAGAAAGAAATCACACACTTTTTTTTCCTTTTCTTTTTTTTTTTTTTTTTTTTTTCTGAGGGTCTTAATGATGTTTAGCCTTCAAGCTTCACAAAATGTCACCCATCAGGTGCCCCAGAGATCAGAGGCACCCACCTAGCAGCTTGTGCTGCTGTCCCTCAGCTTTGCTGTGAGAGGGGCAAATGCATGGAAGGATTACGGACATCCAGAAAAGAAGAGCAGACAAAACCATGGAAAAAAAATCATCAAGATTTATTAACCAAGAGATCCCTCCCTTCAAGTGGGAAAATACCAGGCAGAGCACAGAGCACAGCAGCCTCCATTCCCTCACCCTTTTTGTGCCCTTTCCTTGCTGCTGTTACAACGGGACAGCAGGCTGGATGGATGCTTGACTTTGCTCACTGCAAATGTTCTTCTCCTCTTTGAACCTCAAAGGTAAAAATAGTTAGAGATCTCTGACTTGATTCAAGTGTCTTTCAGATGGGAAAAGCTTTCAATTGCTTCCAGCCTGGGGCCAGAGCAGTACCAGTGACCATGAAATGGAAGGCTCTGCATCCTGTATTAACCAGTCACAGCAGTCTTGTTCTCTCTTCTTTGCCTCGCCTTGCCTTTGCTTTTTTCATCCTCTAATGAAGCACAAGTATCCGGAAGGAATGCATGCTAGGGGTGACAGGGAAATGTCCTTCTGATCTCTCCTCTTGAAGGAAGATTTGGAACATTTTAATAAAGTGGATTAAGAACTTGGACACAAAAAATAACCTGTTTCCCCATGATGGGTGCTTTAATCTTCTCCCTGAGCTGCTGACAAAAGCTTTCCTTAAAGAAGCCTCCTGAGCACAAAAGGGAGAATAAAAGAATGGGAGAATAGACAAAGAGCTGCAAGATGTTTAAAGGCACCCCCAAAAAATGAAGCTGCTTGGGTGCTAATTGTATTCACTATTCCCAGAGCCTGTTTTCCTCTTACACTTCCGATTTTGGATCAATGCTAGAGACTGCAAAACTAACCCAAGGAAGGAAAAAGCCTTTGATTAGACAATCTGAGTGATAAAGAAACGTATTGAACAGAAAGCACTGTCAATGAGCTACTCAATGCAACAATTAGAAGGTGAAACTTTTTCTTTCCCTTTCTAAGCAAGACACACCGATGCTCTGCTGAAAGGAGGTGGGTGGGAGGAATTTTTCTTGTTTTGGTGCCCAATCCAATTGTCTCCTGGACCTTTTTCATTCACATCACCCAATGCAGACTATCTGACATTTGAAGGGACACTCCTGGTGTTTCCAGTAACAAGCTTTCTGTGACAATAAATGAATAAAGAGGTGAAGAAAAATGTTATCTGTGCAGCTGTCCCTGGAATGTTTCTGTTTGAAGAGTCTTTCCAACACTGATGGTCATACAGCTGAAGTTTTGCTCTGATGGGGAATCCCACTGTTCCATGAGCATGACGTGAGAATAAAACCTGAGTTGGTTGGTTCAAAGTGCCAATATGGTAAGTTCATTTATTTTTTTCCTGTCTTTGTGGCCAGATTACTATTATAAAACTGAATATTTTAAATAATAAAAATAATTTCTCCCTCCCCAGATAAGGTGTTTTCAAGCATGGGAGTATCTAAATCAGGCATTTGGTCTGATTTTTGACTGGTCCTGTGCGGAGCCAGGAGTTGGACTCATGACCCTTACTCTCTTCCAACTTGGGATATTTTATGATTATATGATAAATGTGGGGTGGTTCAATAGGTGACTCTGAGCTACTCCATGGGAACCAGTGGCCGGGGAAAAGAGAACACAGTTAACATCCCTTTGGAATGATTGTCAAATTACATCCTCTGTGAGTCTATGCAGACTCTTGACTGCCCCAGTCCTGCAGCACTGACAACAGCGTCAGTCTCTTGGACTTCATTTTGAGCTGATTTTCTTCAAGAACATGGTTTCTCTTTCAGCCTGGACTGTACCTACTCCAATCCAGGACAGACCCTGATCTGCTTTTGCTGTGGTTCTGCAGAGGCAAAAGATACCACCCTAGGCTCTCTTGAAACATAGGTAAGAAGGTAAGAGTGAACCAAATCTTATGCCCACCAGGCAGCCACAGATATCAAAACAGCATGAGTCCCAAGGGTAGCTTATTTATTCCTTGACTTAAGCTTGTCTTTGCTGCCTAGATCTCACAGTAAGAGAGGAACTGAAGAGTTTCTGCACCTCTCCCCCTTGCAGTTTCAGGTGTGTCTACAGCCATTTACAGCCAGAGGTCACAGTTGCTGGGTTCACATTTCATCTGTGTCTACTTTTGTAAGATGAACTCTCTCATTTTTGCCCCCTCACCTCTAAGAGGCTGAAGTCATCCTCTACAGTCCCCAAGAGCATTTTGTTTTCTGGTTCTCTCTGTAAGCATCAGTTGCCTGCAAAGAGCTGGGGCAAGTTCTTTGGGTTATGGTTAAGCTCCATTGCTCTCTCATGCCCTACCATGCAAAAATTCACACAGACTTGTCCATGCTGCTGCTTTCCTTCTTCTGCTGCATAAAAGGGGAAAGAAAACCAAACAAAGCGGAGATAAAACCCCAGCATGTTGTACAGATTAGAAGCAAAAGAAAAAATAGGGACATGGAGAAGAGGGCTGGTAGGGAGAGCCCTCAGCTGACCCTGCAAGGGGCTCCCTATTCACATCTTTCACTACATCTTCTTCCCTCCAATAAAAACTGCTAATCCTGAGCATCACCCAGTATCACTGCGCTTCATTCCTGTATGTTGCCCATAGTCTCCCTTTAGTCCATGAGTTCTCTATGGGGCAGCCAACCCACACCTTCCTCCCACAGCACCCTAGTTTGGTGCCCATAGCACATATTCACAAACTATTCATTATCTTTTTTTTAAAATACTATTTCCTCTTTTCTATACACCCTTGCTACTACCCTGCCTCTCCCCATCCTTCTTTCTGTGCACCATCTTGCCCAAGATTGTCCTTTTGGAGAGGGAGGGCCCTATTTTTTTTCTGATTTGTGGAAAAAGAATGAGTACAGGAGCTCTGTGAGTTTTGTTTTCAAGCACACATTTTGTTTTGATAAACTGCGTTGTTTTGTCTATAGAAAAGTATTAACTGCTTACATCTATTTTCTCAAAGACCGCACATGAATATTAAAAGGGATTTATTCCTACAATGGCTTCGGGCAGTTGAGTAATCCATTATAGGCTGTCATATCACACTGTGGTAATGTAAAAAGCTGGGAGTTCCTCCAATAATATTTATTAGCAATACAGGCACATTTTCACTTTACAGGTTTTTTTCTCCCTTCATGTGATAAGTTCACATATAAAAATATTCATTAGTTTCTTTAAGCTGTTGCTTGATTTTAATTATGACGGTGATAATGATGATTTAAAAGAGTAACTGAATTTCACGCAAGTGATAGTGACCTGGTTTATTACATTTATTTCAATATATACTGGGATGCTTAATTTAAGGCCCGCAGGCCACCTGGACAGTTCATTTGGCTTTTATTTCCCTCCCTCCCTCCTTGGTGTTTCATGTGGGTACAGCAGCACAGGAGCACTATGAATGTACTACTGCAGTGCCCACAGTCCTGCTTTGGGCACGGAGCAGAGGGGGTTAGGAAGGTGGGAAAAGGCTTATCTCCTTCACCAAACTCATAACCTCATCATGTGTCCCTTCAACACTTGTCCTTGCAAGTCAGCTGATATGTAGCCATTTTGGTTGCTTTTTGTTTGACTTTTTTCCACAGATTCTGACCTCTTTCGATGTTAGCTGGAGTTTTTGATTGCATGTAAGACTTCGAAGGTGTTGTCTGTTCTTCACATGGGGTTGGAGCTCAGCAGCCGTTTCTGTTCTCAGCTCCAAGACCCAGCAGAACCTCCCGCTGTGTTACTCACTTGATGAGTGAACTCCCATCAAGGTGCTAACCCTTGAGATGAGCTCTCTGAATAGCTTCATTATTTCCCTGTGGAGTCAGCCAGGAATCAAGCAAGGACACCAAGTGCAGTGACGCTGATGCTCATTCTACTGGGACCGAAGCCAAGAGCAGCTCCTTATTCCACAGAAGTTGTTGAGTTGAGTTGTTGAGTGTTGCTGAAGGATGACAAATAGTGGTCAACAGTGCACTGACCTTCCTCTGAAATCATGATCCCAAGGCAAAGAGCTCCATTTATCCAGAGCGCACTAGTGCCAGTTGGTTATTCTGCATCGCCTTCAATCAAATCTTGCTAGAAGAGCACCTCCTAGTGATTTTGCTGCCTTGGATGGATGCAGGCATGCAGAGAAAACACTTGCCTTTGTCTCACAAGATGTGAGCAGAGCCTGACCTGCTGATGAATACATCCTCAAGATAGAGTGTGTAAGAAGTCCACATTATTCTATTTGACAGGCTGTACAGGCTGTCATGACTTTGAAAGTACCCTATGGGATGAAAGGTTTTCTCCAGAAAATCTTGGCTGAGAGGTGTTAAAAGGCAGATGGGTAATCTAAAATAGCTTTGGCAAGTATAAGCAAGGTGATTGCATGTAGGGCTGGTTAGTCCCCATGGATCACCTAGGGCTTTGTAATTCCTGCAGAGTTCTGCAAGAAGAGAAGATTTTTACTGTGTGTGTGGAGTGAGGATGCAGAGGCCAAAGAATGGGGGAAAAGAAGTTTAGGAGCATCACTACTGTCCTCTACTTTACCCCCAATTGATTTCACCCGTTTCCTTCAATTCACAGCTTTCTTTTTCATTTACCTCCAGGTGTAAAACCTCTCCTCTCCCCTCTGTTGTCACTTCCCTGTTTTGTGGGTAAAAATCTGTGTTCTGAGGTGCTAGAACAAGTCAGCTTTTGTTTATGCATGGCCACATGCGGGATCAATATCTGCAGGTGTGTGAATTGTGCATGCATGTGGATGCAGGTGGTCCGTGATGTGCACGGATGGGAGCATGCACTAAAACAGCAGGGCTTGCCTCCATGCTCCCTTTGTAACTCATTCTTCAGCCAAAACTCCCTGACCTATACTTGTGACATAATGATAATCTCCACAAGAGCCTATTACGATTATATAAATAAACCCTTTCAACATTATTACACTGCACAGAGGAGAAACAGAAAGTGATGAACCATAGAGGACTAGGGGGAAGAAATAGTTGTGCAAACAGTCAAAGATATCTAACTGATCATAAAGGGAGTAATGATCCTAAATTGTCTGCAAACAAGCAGGATATTCTTTAAGATACCTTATTTGTTAATATTAATCAGGAAGATGATTTCCCAGCTAGTCTCTGGATAGAGTTCTCTTGACGAAGCATGTTATAGGCCAAATGGTAGTGTTCAGACTTGCAGATCACAGCCAGGCTTAACTTTTCTTACTAGGTGGATACCAAGAACTACTCAGAGCTGGTGGTCAAGGCATCGGTTTCCCTGCCTTTTAAAAAGTACTTATTTGCCAGAATGCCTTGGCTTTGGATTAACTGTTTTAACTCAGTATTGAAGTGTGACCAGCTTGCGTGGACTGGATGGTATGGAAAAGACTTTTTTCCACAGGTTGTCTTTGAAATCCATGCTCTGTTCTCTGGTTGAGGTCCTACAGTGGGGCCTATCTGTGGGCTTTTTGAAGATCAGGGCTGTGTAACACATCAGAGAGTGCTTGGGAGAGGCAGGAGAGAAGTGGACAGCTTCCATGTATCCTCTCTCTTCAAAGTGAAATGAAATTCTGCCTCCCAGAAGGAGTCTGTTACCAGCTCCCCTGATTCTGATGCCCTCCATGTGCTCTCTGTTATTTGCACTGGCCTCCAGTGCCTGCTGTGTGAAGCTCTGTGCCATGTTTTGCTGCTTTGTGGCCAGCAACAATGAGTGACCAAGGCCAGCCGGTCCTGCTTCCTGCCCCTGCCACTGAGCTGCTTCTGGAATCTAAGTGGAATCAGTATACAACAGCGCACAGCTTTATTAAACACATCTATTCTCTCTGGATGGCTGCAGAAGGCTTCATTCTCCCTCCCTATATGTAAGACTTGGCATGGATTTTTTTATTCTTTCCTCACCCCACTAATGTGGCACTCACTGTGGTTCTCCTGAAGTTCCAGACCGAGATATAAGGTGTTTGTTTGGTAACATGGTATAATCCTGACTTGAACTGGCCAAAACAGCAGCTCAGCTGCTTGCCCCACACCAGCACGCTTGTCCTCAGCAGCAGGCATTTTCCCCAGGACTAGTTGGAAAACCAAGACCTCGTGCCTGGATGCCATGGTAGATGCAAACCTGGAGGCATTAGGTTGCAAGAGAAGCAGCCGAGTGAGAAAGCTGTTCCCTGAGCCAGCCACAAAGGGCTCATTAGCCAGCAGCTATTTAGGCAGTGGCACTGCAGCAACTCTCTGCTGGAAAAAGCTGATTTGTGGCGGTTTCCTCTCCACACCAAGTGTGCACTGATCAGGAATATAAATACCGTTAATCCCCAGCGTTAATACCAGCAGCTTTGATCATCTTTCCCCATTATCACTCCCTTGCTGTTAATAAAAGTGATAACCATGGGGGAGAAGGGAATGGGGACTGGACTAATCAGTTTGCAGTTGGCGATGCTGTAAGTAAACTGTCAGGTCTGGAGATTAGGGATCTGAGGAAACCCTGGGGAGATGGTGTTAAATAAACACTTTTGTTCATGCAGGTTGGGAAAACGAGACACCCAAGGCAACCTGGCCTCAGTGACAGTGCCTCTGGACATCAAGGGGGAGCTCAGGAACAAATTTCTGCAAGGAACTTTCTACAACTTTCTAAGGTATGCTTTTCTTCCTGTTTTCCAACCAGTTACAGTGATTTACGGGCTCCTGCTCCTTCTTCGTCCTCCTTCTCTGGAAGAGGCTGACCAGGGAATTTCTGGATACCCCATCCCTGGAGGTGTTCAAGGCCAGGTAGCATGGAGACAACCTGATTTAGTGTCTGATTTAGAGATTGGCAACCCTGCCCATTGCAGGGGAGTTGGAACTAGATTATCTTTAATGTCCCTTTCAATCCAAGCCATTCTATGATTCTATGATTCTCTCACTAGTTACTTAGTGGCTGGCCTGATGTCTCACCTATGAAAATTATCCACAAGCTTTGGAAAGATTTTTCTTGGGTGAAGAGCAGAGAGAGTATATTTCCCTGCACAGTTCCTTGCTGATAGCTAAGACAAACTGGGCAGAACAGATCAAGATTGATAGTATTTGCTTGTGATGGTTTCCTGATGGCATTTTGTGGAAGAATGGAGGGATAACTAATTTGCTCACTAGAACCCTAGTTTACCTTCGAAAAACGTAATTGAGTCTATTGCCTTCATATTCAAAAGATAAATGTGCCTTGAGAATGGCCAATTGGGTCTGATTGTGTCTGCAGAGTCTGAGAATAAAGAAAAGCATGTGCATCACTAGCGCATAAGTTACAAACTCTCTTGATATGCACTTAGGTGGCCCCATTATTAACCAGCACTGCAGAACTTAAAGGGCAGGGATGCCCCTAACGTGAAAGCACAAAAGGATCTATTGGAAATAGCTGGTCTGGTCTGGAGGAGGGAATAACACACGTGGTAAATCTGGATATAGAATCATAGAATCATTAAGGTTGGAAAAGACTACTAAGATCATCCAGTGCAACCATCAACCAATTATCACTGTGCACAGAGCAGAACCTGGGGGGGTACCAACAACTTTTGTTTTGGGACTGATTGTTGTTGACAGCAAAGCTGGGAGAGGAAACCAGGAGCGCTTAAACTCTGTAAGAGGAGCAGAGTGGGGAGGCATAGCTCTTGCTTTTTGCACTGGCTGCTTGGGCTGATAACAGCCAGTGGAAGCAGGGCTGAGTACAAGACAGACAGTGGCTCTGTTCTGTAATTGCAGTGTGAGGCTGTGAATAAACAGTGTCCCACAAGTGGGGGAAGCCTTTCCTGTGCCCATCTATCAGAGCAACACCCACAGTTGGATCAAGGCACCAGCTGGAGCCCAGTGCTCCCATTCCTGTCTGCCACTTGCTCAGCCCCATCCACCAAGAGCCCTTCCCCACTGTATTATTTTCACAGTTTCTTATTTTGTAGTGGCATCCAGCCCAGAGCTTTCACAGGAAAGGGCAAATGGTCGGGGACTCATTTTAACAGCAAAAGGGAACTTGCAAGAGCTTCACAAACTTCTGGATGGGGCCAGAAGGTCTATTTTTCTGTGGCAGCTGGTCAGAGATAGCGAGAGCAAGATTCGCCTGAACCTTTGATAATTAAACTCTCAGCTGCCGAAGAGCTGGCTGCCTGGCTGCCAGATAAATGCTGTTTCCCTCGAATTAGTGTGGAGCCAAAGTGACATCCAATGGCTGGTTAGGCTCATCAAACTGGCTGTTCTCTACAGCTATCCCAAGGGATAGAGCCCAGGCGGCCATTTGCCAATGGAAAAAGGCAAGTACAAATGCCGGGCACGTATCATCCTGCTGAATTTATCACATCTGCAGTTCAGGTACTTTTAGACTTCCTGATGTCATAATACTCCTTTATACAAGAGCTTTCAGGGAAAGCTCCCAAATATGCATTAGACGGAGATGTAATAAGACAGGTCCTGTATATTAAACAGCTACTGCCAGCTCAAATTGAGTCCCAAATTTAGGGTTGAAATGAATGAACTATTACAAAGCCTGACAACATCAGAAATATTCTTGCGCTATTTATTTTTTGGACAGGAGTTGGAAGAAAAATGGTGGGGGTGTCATTTCTGTAGGGGAAGGGTAGTGCCACCTGCAGGGCCCTCAGACAGGGCTGGGAAGTGACAATCCGAGAGCCAAGCACTGATAAACTTGTGCCTAATGGTGAGCCTCATCCCCCAAGTAGAGAGAAATTGAAAATGCAAACAATGAGGTAGAAAGAGTGGAGAACAAATTGGATTTCAAAAATTCTTCCTGTTTCAGTCATCTCAGGTACTGCTGGATTTCAAATCCCAGAAGTGTGGTGGTGGTTTTTAAGCTGACAGTGTTCCCTGTGCTCCAGCTGAATGTGTCAGGACAGAGAATTATTATTACAAAGGCACAGAAGGAAAGGATGCAGTTTGTTAGGTGCCAAGCAGTGTCCCTGCCTGCTAAGAAACAGCAATGCTAAGACAGAATAAAGAGCAATGTTAAAACAAGGCTAAAGTGCTGCCTTGCCAAAGGTGACACTAGGAAACAGATATAAACACCAGCAGTGTACTGGGAGGGCAGCAGAGCTTTATTGTTCTTGGTTAGCCATTTTTTTTTTTAAATACATAATTTCCCTGAGCAAATGCAGGGTGACTGACTTCTTCCTTCTGTAGAATGTTTCCTTGCTCAATCCTAATCCTGTATATCTTGAAAGTCTCTGACATGGGTGAACAGGTGAGAATTGTGGTGAGAGCTAGGGAGCTGAGCTGTGTGTGGCTTGGCTCAGCTCTGCACTGGTGCTGAGCAATGAAGCAGGCTGGGTGGGCTGCCTGGAGATGGTTCCTCTCTGTAGTTATTGAACACCTACTCACCAGGGTTGAGTGATTACCTGGCATTTAATTATTAAGTATCAGTAAATCAGCTGGAAGTGTGCCTGCCTGATGCCTGGTGGATGTGAGTGGTGAGGGCTGTGCTCAGAGCCCACACACTGAGCAAGAAGGCTGTGCATTGGGCAGATTATAAAGGCTACTTGTGTTGACTTTGTGCTTGAGAAAGAGGAGATAAATGCCCTCAGTCCCAGCAATTCAGCACAAAAACATCTATTTCAGTGCAACCACCAAACACCTCAGCGCTGGGAACATATATTTTTCTGCAAATCAAAATGTGTTCTTTCAAAACCATATGTCACTGATGGATCAGCCTGATTAGCTGGGCTTTCTTTTGTGAAGGTCAAGCTGCAGGTAAGCGCTTTCATTTGTGTTTGTTGCTTTTGAAGCTGGGGAAGAGTTTCATTCCTAGCAGTTATCTGCTTGGCCACCAGCATGGAGCGTCACAGCTCATGGCAGCTCCATGAGAGGTTGAAGGTGTGATAACACCTTGGCTGATCTGCCTTAACATTTATGTTTAGTAGAGCCAGCTCTTTCCTTGCAGCAGGGAGAACTTGTTTGTCTGACCCTACCGGGGACTAGAATGTAACTAACGTTGAGTAAATCAAGTGACTCTTCTACACAGAAAGAGAGCCTCCTGAGATCCCACTAGCAGGACTCACAACTGCGGCCAACAAAGGTATAGGTTTTCACTAGTGAAAGTGTTTTTCCTAGTGAAGGACTTTGAAAGAGTTCCTAGTTGAAGTGCTGAGGGTAAGGTAATCTGGCAGGGTTCTTAGAGGAGAAAAATGCCATCTGCTGCCACTCTAACATACACCAGGATCTTAAAAATGGCTGTTTCTTGGTTCCTATACCTTGCTTAACTCAGGTAGGTTCTTGGGATAGCAAAGGCACTGCAAATCAAAGATATTACCAGTAGCATTGGCATAATAGTTGCTGTGTGCTGCTGTACCCACACTTGCCCACTTAGACAGCCCTCTCCTAGAGCAGTCAGCACCAAATACTGGAAAAACAGCACTTGGTTATTGATAACCACCATTGATTTCCAATGAACCCACTCATCGGATAACTACCTTCTGAACAGAGCGGAGGTCTGCCTTCCTCTGTGGCTGGGAAGATACCACATTGAGTAGTTAGCACATGAAGGGCAGCATCAGAATCTGAACTCTGTCTCTGGGAGATCCTGTGACAGCAAGAACTGCACCATATTCCATCACTCTGTAGTTGCCCTGGTATGGAAGAGCTTATGCTTACACCTATCACCCTTTATCACTCTTTCCTGGAGAGCTGAATTTTCTCTTGGTGAATGTACCAAAGCTCTGTGGAAATACAAGAACTCCAAGGGCTGTACTGATGTACTTCAGGCAAGTTGTAGACACAGTTTTCTATGTTGTGCTCTGGGGATATTTTTTGCTCTGTACCTCTACTGTGGCCTCCAAGCAAATTCAGTTTGGAACTCATCACTGCAGAGATCTGTTAGTTATATCCCTGGGTTGAAAGCTGCTGATGGTATCATTTTTGAGGGTAACTGCCCCAGAATGTGGCATGCAGGTGTGGGAAATCTGAGTGATGCCCTTCCTCTCTTTTCAGTCCTCTTCCAAGCGGATGATGGCTTTGCTTCTCCAGGATGCAAAGACACTGGCCTGATTGCTCTGGAAAAACTTTCAGCCAAGGTAAAGCACAAAATTCCCTGGAAGAGCCTGACTCAAGGGCTGTTCCCTTGGTAACCATCACCTTGTTGTTATGTTGTTATTCAAAGACAATTTCTAAACTTTAAGAGAATATAACAAGGAGCTGTTATGGGGCAGAAGGAGCCCCTGAACAGGGAAATGAGTTTCCTCTGCTCATGTGCAGAGCAAGGTTTCAGGCAGAGAGGTGCCAGGCAAGAGGCAGATTGCTATTCCCTTCCCTGGGGACTATGAGCTTGTTGTGGGGAGATATGAGAATGATAAAGTCCTTTCTCCCTTTCTTCCCAATCCCTTTCCTTCAGAGGCTGGTTGGAGGATAATGTCCAGGTTGGGCTGGCTCCCCAACACCTCTTGTTAAGCTCTCAGGGGAAGGTCACTTGTTCCCCTTTGAGTTCTTCAGTGAAACACTGTTCTCTGCCCTCCTTTGGCTTCACAGAATTGTAGAATCATGGGATCATAGGGGTTGGAAGGGATGTCTGGAGATCATCAAGTCCAGCTCCCCTTCTTATAGAGAATTGTTTCAATGTGGTGGTTTCCTGCTCTGCTCCCCACGCAGGGCAGCAGACGGAGACTATGCCTCACATGTGGATTGGTGTGGGCTCTCAGACATGGGGCTGTAGAGCAGTAGTATTTTTTTACTTTCCACTCTGTAGGCTTTGGCAATCAAGATTGACTTTGGAGACTGACTTTGCTTCTTGAACTGTTCTGGACCTGTTTCTTCCCAGCCTTTGATTGGATACACCATTTTTGTGATATACCACAGCAATCCAGCAGCAATTCCACGCTTACACATCTCCTCTAAGAAGACAATAATTCTCATGGAGGTAATTTCTTGTGTCATTTTGGGAATACATGGGAAGTTCCATCTTCCTTAGTTTTCTTGCGTCAACAGAGAGCAGAAAGCAGGCCAACAAAACTGAGTAAATTCATTTTCACAGAAAGATCCTATGGCCTCTAAACATGATCCCACCCAGTCAGAGTGTAGGATGGGTATCTCCCACATGTTGCAAAGAATGAGTGCAGTGGGAACTTTTTGTCTAGATGGCTGTCTGAAGTCTTCCAGTTGTCATTACAGTATAAATACAGCAACCTACAGTTGCCAGTTACTACTGCCTTGTATCCTACATGAATATTAAAAGCACATGCCTGCACAAACCTCTACCACTGCAGATATACAATACATATAAAATATATTCCTGTATTTATTCATAGTTACATGCTCATTTATCAAAGAGGCAATCTCTGTTGACGTCAATATAATAAAGGGTCTCTCACAGCAGTACTGCCAGGAGCCCTTTTCCTCCAGAGACTGTAATGCTGTCATGAATATGACAACGAGTCAACATGGGATAATGCTGCATCAGAGGGCAATAATTCTGGGGAGATGAAGGGCTCTGGAAGTGCAGGTTAAGGGACATAGGAAGTAATACAAGTGCAGTAACTTCCATTTCTATTTTTGGAGGAGGGTATGAGCCTTTGAATTGAGGAAAGTGGTAAATCAGTGCTCTGGTTGGTATCCTTCATGCATCACATGGAGTCGGTGTGACTGTGTGAGTTAACTGAGCACTAACTACTTCATGCATTTAAAGGAGATCCCTGCTTCATTGGGAGCCTTTCTTTGTTCTGAAGCCGTTGTAGTGCCATGGGTGATTTATGGTTTTGTGTGGAAAACACAGAGGATGCCTGCATTCCCGTGTCCGTGAGGAGGCCTGCCTCCATTCGTCACTGGAGCTCACCACTTGGAAGTCTGCTTGGATGATTATCTCCATCTGACAGTGAGGTATTGGCTGTGGTTTGGAATTACTTCTCTGTGTTTGTGCTGCAGTCATAATCATGAGGTCTTGACAATTTCTTTTTGATTCCTGTGATTTTGGCCAAGCGCTAGGTCTTTGTGAAAATGCTTACAGATCTTGATGCTTCATAAATATGAATGGGAATGACAACTTGGATCAGGGTTATAGAATGTACACTGTCCCTCTTGCTCTTCCCCAGAGCTGCTGTATGGGGCAGGAAACTGATCAGGTCTCCCTTTTCTCAACTCCGGCAGTGCTCATACTGCCTTGGTGGAACAAAACTATTTCTCAGAAGTTTTTGGTGGTTTTTGAAGCTGGAGGATGTGAGGACTTGGTCATGGGGGTTTTTAAACTCTCATACCTTTGTGAGATGGGACAGTGCTGCTTTATCCCCACATTTACAGAGGGAGAAGTGAGACCCAGTGATGCAACACATCAAAGGCTTCACAAGGCATGTGGGACAGAGAGCAGATTTTGACCTAGTTTTCTGTAGGTCATTACTTCTTGCTAGCTGGATGCTTGCAAGACCCAGTTTTGCTTTCCTGATTGCTTCATGACACAGAAAGTAATTTGGGTAACAGTTACTATGGTACCATCCTATGAGGCTGGCATGAATTATGGACTTCAGCTGACAGAAGACCATCTTGGAACTGCTGTCACCTGGCAAAGGCTAGGAAAGCCTGCTCACTGCAGGCATGCCCCAGAGATGGAAGGTGTTTTACCCCTTCCCCATCATGGTGATAAGTACATCACATCCTGGCAGGGCAGCAGCTTCCCAGGGAACATTGGCGCCAGACAGCCTTGCAGAGCAAACGGCACGTGGTCTCAGGGAATGCTTTCAAACAGCCGTCTGGCAGAAGAGGATTCATCCAGATGAGCCTGAGAATTTATATGCACAGCTGATATTGCTGGAAAGCAGAACTGGCATGGGAATAGCTTACGAAGTGGGAATGCAGGGGAATCTTCAGCAAAAGCTTTTATCTCCCAAACAATTCAAGCAGCTTGGGTGAAGCATAAAAGAGGTGCGTGCTCTGAAGCAGGGAAGGGAAATAGGACTGCTTCTGCATCTATTTATATACCTGAAAAGCTACCCTAATGATAAATAATTGCAAATAATAATCACAATATCAAAAACAGGAAGGGCAAAGAAAGAGCAGCTCCCTCCCTCCCCCTTCTCCAGTGCTGGTGTTTGAGATGTCATCCAGATATGAAATCTGAGCCTGTTTCTAGTGGAAGGAGAATGGCAGTCAGTGTATCTTTATCACAATCTCTTTCATGCTCCAATGAGCTCCTTACCCTGTGCAGCAGCAGCAGCACAGACAGAGATGCCAACCTGTCTCTGAGCAAACGGAGAGATTTGGGCTGAAGCCTCAGCTGACTCAAAAAAAGACCCCTGGGTGTTTTTCCAGAGTTGACTGAGGGTTGTTTTCCTTCTCTCTCCTGCCTTGTGCTAAGGTTTGAGATGGCCCATGACTTCCTCTGGCCTGAAGGTCACTTTTGTGCATGGAAGAGTTATCAGGTTCATCATCTCCTGCAGATTATAATGCACTTTATCCTATTTATTTTTTCATGCAATCTCAGCACTACAGCCTGAGCAGGGAAGGGAAGACTGAAAGCACAGTTTGCTTTTAACAGTGGAGAAACAGTGTCATGGTCTGGCAGGGCACTGCAGGGACGCTCTGGTTCAATAACGATTTTGGAAGATGCTGTGTTGACGTGCTGATCCACCTTACTCTGTTTCTCTGAGGCAAGGAAATATCCAGTCATTCTCCAGTAGCATTAAAACCTAATTCTGCCTACGTCACAGGAATATCACATTAGAAACCCTCAAGAAACCCTTGTTGAACCACTCTCAGAAGGGAGCTTTACACCTTGTGATCACGAGCTTCATTTGTCTTCTTTACATGGTTGAGACAAGAGACCTGGAGAAAGGCACTTAAATGAGTTGGGTTTTTAGATTGGTGCTCTGAGGCTCTGCACTGGTCTTGATGACGGAAAGCTCTTCTAGCACAGCAGTCCCCCTCACTTTGAGAGAGGATGAGTGAGATGCTTCAAGGGCAAAGAGCATTCAACCATGAGAAGCAATAAAATCTGAGAGAGAGCTGCAACCAGACCTTGATTCACCAAGGCACCAGAGACCAGGCTTCAACTCCCAAGAGGTCTCCAGCAACAACAAGCATCCAAAGGGCAGGCATCACTTGATCACATGAGCCTCACTTTCGCATCATAGTTGCTGTCTGCCTCAGCAGAAGAATTTTGTTTCATTTAATCAGTTTTAAACTCCTACTCTTTTTTTTTTTTTTTCTTCTTTTTTTCTTTGAGAAACTGGAATCAGTAAGAACTATGAAGAAGAAAACTTCAGAACTGATGGTAAATGTCATGGTCCCAGATAATGTGCTGTATGTCCTCCAGTGTGGAAAGATTCCCTGTGAGCACAGTGCTGAATGAGAGCTGGGATGCACGTGTATGACCCTGAGTCCTTTTGCTTGATCTTTCTATATTTTTCCACATCACTGATTAGTTAACAACTTGAGATATAGGATAGATTAATAATAAACTTTTGAGGATTCTTCATTAGGTTTTGTGCTGTCGTGTTCAAGAAACACATTGATGTGATACTTAGGGTGACATTGGTGGTAGGTGGACAGTTGGACTGGATGATGCTAGAGGTCTTTTCCAACCTTAATGATTCTATGATTCTTTCATTCTATGACTTTTGCCCCCAAATCTTTCCTGCAATCCCCATGTTCCAGGCTCTGAGCACAGTCTTATGGCTCCATGCAGGAGCTTTTCTGCACAGAATTTTCATTTTGGCTGACTCGATACAGAGGCAGAGCAGCAGGAAAGCAGCACTAAAGGAGAATTGGTTGACAAGGAGGAGGATGTGGAAGCAGATGAGGAGCACTTGGGACTTTGGATGAAAAGTAGTTCATCCCTTCTCAGCCCATTAATAAGTTAATAACTTATCAGAGATTAACTTAACACCTTGAGGCACAGAAGACATTGCCTTGTTCTCACATTAGACTGGCTCTATTGTAATTCCTTTATCTTACCTTTCTTTTTTCCCCCCTCAGCTATTGCATACTCATCTGGGGCCACACTAATATAACAGCATAAGATTCAATTACAAAAGACTACAATAAGAGTGCAAAATTCTCTTCCTGACATGCTGAATCACTGCTCAGAAGCATTAATTATTGAGTGGCTAGCGGAATATTTTTTTCAAGTTGCAGTAGAAAAAAGAGTGAACCCTATGGCACCTCCTATGCAGGGAGCAGCTCCTACTTAGGATGTTTCTGGCTTTGCTGATTCTTGAGGCCAGTCAGAAGGAATGGGGACAGGAGAAGGAAAGGGGGAGATGAGGGAAAGCAGCACCAAGCTGGCACAGTCCTCTCCTGGGGAAGGAGCAGACGGGATGTTTGGCTTCTTTTATTTCCCTTGGTCTATGCACAAGGGTTTTTATTACAAAGAAGAGGAGGGAGCCCATGTGGGGAAAAGATACAGGTCTAGCCACCGGGTCTCTACTCTGCTTGGGAAGGGGATATTCTTATCAGCCCGTTTGATGTCTTCCTGAGAGCCTCAGCATTGTGCCCAGCACTCAGCCATCCCGATCCCTATCACCAGAGCTGCCAGTACCTCGAGCTTATCTCCTTGTTACAGGAGTCTCATCTCTGGAGTACCCATGCACATTTTACATGGTATCAAGAGAAAGAACAAAGTAGCCTATCCTTTCATTGGCAGCTTCAGGGGATGTGGGGTTTGAGGGGACCATGGAAATGCAGCTTCTCTCTCTTATCTGGCAAGGTGCTTGCAGACTGGGGCTTTGAGTCAGAGCAATGGGAGACGCTTACGTTGCTGCTTTCTATTCTGTGAACCCAAGGATGTGTAAGGATCCAGATGGGTTAACATCCCTTCTTTTATCCACATTAAGTCATGGAATTTAACCTCCTCTAAATTCTCAGCTATAGATGGATTAGATAAACTGGAACTAATGAAATATATTTGCTGCACAGATCCAAATTCAGCTCCCAGCATCCTTGGAACAAATCTGAAGAAACAGCCATGCTCAGGGCACGGGCTTGCCCAGGATATCTCTGCAGACAGGAAGGGTTGGGCTGTTATTTCAGCTGGAGCCGCTCCTGGCTTGCAGATGCCACTATGGACTTACATGGAGATGACAAAGACCAGATGCTATTCCCTCATCTTTCTGTCATGCCTCTCTGTTTCTATATTTAAATGCATGTATTCTGAGGGGAGGAAGACTTGGCTTCAGGACTTGTGCACAATCCTCCTGCCCCACATGGTTTTGCTCTTGTGCTGACACACAGTGACAAAATAAACATCGTGTGAGTGAAGAGGATGACATCAGGATTACAAGCAGTGTTAAAGGAGACAGAGCTGCCTCTCACAGATGGTATTTGCATGTGTAACACAGGCTCCAAGGACTCCTATTGCCTCCCTCCTCAACTAGCATTGTCTGTTCAGCTCTGAATACATGACTCCATTTATCAGCTCTATGGACATGGTGAGGGTTTCCTGCAGTCCTCTAGGGATGAGGAAGTTTGACTGAGGCTGCAAAAAGAGCTGGAGATGGAATCAGACCAGTAAGCAACTGCAACGTGGTGCACAACTTCATCCTACCCTCAAATGTCACATCTGGCCATTTGTGGAGGTGGCATATGGGGTGGATCCAGTATCTGGTTCCACAGAACTGGGCTCAGAGCTGCAGGAGCCAAGGACATCCTTGGGGTTTAACCAGAGAGGATAATGCAGGTGTATTTGGTTGGTAATGGGGAAGGTCATAGAAGCTGAAGATCAGGGTAGAGCTGCTCTTTCACAGACACAGTGATATTATAATGGCTTTAATTGGGCTGTAACATGACATTGCATTAGAAAAGCAATATATGCTTTTCTGTGATCTAGAGAATTTGATTTAAAAATCATATAAACTGTGTGTTGGTGAGAGATGGTATGACATGCTCACTGCAGAGGCAGTGCAAAGAGAGCTTCACCCTCACCTGGATGAAATGATGAGGTTAGTAAAACCTTGTAACTTTATCTCTCCTACATACCTCTGCTGAGACATACATAACACAATGTCATTTTATTTTATTTTACTTTATTTATTTATCCTTCTCTACTTCATTTTCTTTCTTTTAGTCACTTTATTTTATTCTATTTATTTTATTTACTTTTGTTACATGCAGTCTGTAAGCTTACATTATGTAAGACCTAGCAAGTATCATTTGATGGTTGTTTCCCTTTGCTCCTTGGGAGACGAATGATGTTTTATCTGGTGATTGAAAATGAAAGGCACTGCATCTCATTTCTTATTCCTTGTGGCACTCATTTTGGCATTCTATGGAACTGTGGTTCTGAATGGAGATTGCTCTGATGTCCTTATCCATTCCCCCAGTATCAGACTCAGAAATCTGCAAGGTGTGACCATTAGTACAGCAAACCCACTGTCTCTCCAGGATAAACTCCAGGATAAACATTGCCTTCTCCCAGGACATGGGGAAATGGCCACAAGTTGTATCAGAGGAGGTTTAGATTAGACATGAGGAAGAGCTATTTCTCTCAGAGTGGTCAGGCACTGGAATGGCTGCCCAGGGAGGTGGTGGAGTCGCCGTCCCTGGCAGTGTTCAAGAGGTGTCTGGATGAAGTGCTGCGTGATGTGGTTTAGTGCTTGTGGTGGCAATGGTGATGAGGAGATGGCTGGACTAGATGATCTTATAGGTCATTTCCAACCTTGAATTCTGTGATTCTATGATTCTATAAAGTCACTCAAAGTACTGAAGTCCCTCAGCTCTTCTTTTCTCCTCCTTTTCTTCCTTCCCTTTCCAGTCTTGGTCTCTCTCCTCTGAATGATGTTGCAAGACTTTGTGTTTAATTAAGACACATTGTCCAACCAATTTGGAAGCAGAAAATAGCAGGATATGTTTTACAAATAGGAACAATTCTTGTTCATTATCCCTTAATTGAGGCAACAAAAAGGTGCTGGAAAACATCCATCAGATGCACATTCATATACATCATCAGAGAGGATTGGATTTAGGAACTCACAAAAGCAACATCGAATGTTCCAATCAAGAGTTATACAGACAACAGGAAAACAAAAAATTGGAGACACAAATACATCAGAATTAGCACAATCACAGATTACATGTTTCTGGAAAACACATTCCCTGGCTCTTCTCCAGGATTTTCTTATTTCATACTCCTTTTCTTTCGTTCCTATTTGTGGTACAGAAGTCACTGTTGCTGGCCTATCCTTTGCCAGTCCATGCAGCTTCTCATGAGGAGGAAGGTATCGTTCTGGGGGGCATTGCAGGAGTGGCTGGGACAACGTGATCGCCAAGTTGGAAGCTTTCACCCCAGTTTGAACACAGGGCACTCTAAGGATGACACATTGTTCGTCTTTTCCACCCTCATTCTTTCACACACTGAAGTTTGGTCTCTCTGCTAAATCACTCTTCTTGTGCAGAGGAGATAAATAACAGGAGAGAACCTGCTGAGGGAGACATTTTGAGCCTGGAAGGCCAGGAAATCTCTTTACCCACTTAACTATGCATTTTAAAGCTTGCTTGGCCTCTTCTGAGCTCATTTACACTCTAACACCGGGGCCCCCACAGAGTCAATCTTTATTCCCACTGGTCTGTTAGACTCACATTCTTTGGCTTGTCATTTTTAAAAGGTGCTTGAGTTTTAAATGAGGGACAGAATATGCCACAGACCTTTACGATACCTGCTGAAGTGTATGTGCACCTCTGTGCTTCCTGGAAGGGAGGACATCATCAGGAAAAATGGCATCACACCTCATCAGACTGTAGTAATAGACCAAAACATGATAGGATGCTGTTAAAAATTCTCATGATTGGTACCCACAGCTGTCGAGCTAATTATTCTTGCTGTCTTGTCATAGATAGTTATATGGTCTCCAGGGTACCTCAGCATTTCACAATCTCTAATAGAGTTCTCTTCACACACTCCTGAGAGACACCTCTCTGCTCTTACCTTCCCTCTCCTTCATTCCACTGGGATGACTGAGGCTCAGCAGCCTATTCCAATGCTGCACTCTGCAGTGCTTTCCCTTGAGCAGCACACGTGTCACCAGCTTTATCTAGCTCAGTGTCAGATGTGGAATTTAAGCTACCATCATTTATGGAAGGTGATGGGAAGCAGCAGAAGGGATGTCTGAAAGGTAGGGGACTCCCTGGAGGGGAATCTTGTGTGGTCTAAGTCCCCTGATGTCTAGAGGACATGAGTCCCATCAGAACTATCCCATGGGTCGTGCTCTGGGACTGCAGACTACAGTGAGAGCAACACGTCCCTATACTTCATGAAACCATGGATGGTTTGAAAGAACCTATTCTTGCAAGAACACACCTCTACTCTGTGCTGTGAGACCTCATCTGGAGTACTACATCCAGATGTGGAGTCCTCACTGCAGGAGAGACATGGACCTGCTGGAGTGTGTCCACAGGAGGGCCACACAAATGATCCAAGGGATGGAGTACCTCCCCTGCGAGGACAGTCTGAGAGAGTTGGGGCTGTTCAGCCTAGAGAAGAGAAGGCTCTGGAAACCTGTGAGCAGCCTTTCGATATCTAAAGGGGAGCTATTAAGAAAAAAGGGGACAGGCTCTTCAGTAAGGTCTGTTGTGATAGTACAGGGGGAAATGGTTTCAAGCTAAAAGAGAGATTTAGACTGGATATCAGGAAGGTTTTTACAGTAAGTGTGGTGAGGCATTGGTACAGGCTGCCCAGAGAAAAGTGGTGGTGCCCCATTCCTGGAGACACCTGAGGTCAGGCTGGACGGGCTCTGAGCATCTGATGGAGCTGTGGGTGCCCCTGTTCATTGCAGGGGAGTTGGATCAGATGGCCTTTAAGGGTCCTTCCCAACTCAAACCATTCTACGATTCTCTGATTTTTTTGAACCTGAACCCCAGCCTGAGGAAGTTTTGGAGACATTGCTTGAACTCGGGTGAGGTTTTCATAGAATTATAGAATCGCTAAGTTTGGAAAAGACCTCTAAGATCATATAAGTCCAACTGCCCCAGGGAGGTTGGGGCAGCAGACTGGCTCTGTGCCTTGTTTAGGCTGGGAGCTCCCCAGAGCAGCTCTGTCTTTGCCTTCAGTGAAAAATTCCCCCATGATTTTCCCTTGCACTTCCTCCAGCAGCTGCTGTGACTTTCCTCTGTTGTCCCCGCAAGCCCTCCCTGCCTTGTTTTGAAATCCCCACTGCCTACCATGGAAAGTGTTTGCATTGTAGCTGGCATTTGTTGATTTTCTTTAGGTGGCTTAGGGCTGCAGGCATTCCTCATTACTTTTTTATTAACCAATCTGAATACTCATTTAGCCTTACTAAGCGTGTGCTGGTTTTTAATTCTTCCTTCAGAAGCATCTGTGCAGATCTGTTCCTTGGTCCTCAGTAACAACATAGGATCCCATGCAGCAAGGAGGAGGCAAGAGATGACAGCTCACCACACAAGACCAATCTGGGTGACAAAGCAAAGTCCTCTCTTTGCCTTCCTGTGCAGCAGGACTGCCAGAAGTTACAGCAGTGCAATACTCAGCAGGATGATAAGGTATGTTGCGTCGGACAAACAACTTTCCAAAATACTTTCCAAAATTAATAATGCAAAGTGGCAAGACGATAGATAATAAAAATAGCTGAAATGGTCGAGGGAAGGCAGTTGATGAAGATTAAATTGTCATTCAACTATAAGGTTAACAGGAGGTAGGAAAAAGAATGATTATAACCATTATGCGTAAAAACCAAGAGACTGGCAGAGAAACGTTGTGTTCTGACATCCAACTCCCATGCACTGCCTTGGACCTATTTTTCAAGTGCGCTGAGTACCCAGAACTACTCAAGGCAGGATGTAATTTTTTCCCTTCTGGCTCAGATGCCAAGCTGAAGGAAGGAGGTAGGGACGCTGGGTGGGAAGAGATCTGGTTCTGTCATTTCTCAGGTTGCAAGGCCTGATGAAAAAGCCATATCCAAGGAATGGATAATTATCATAGAATCATAGAATGCCTGGATTTGGAAAGGACCTCAAAGATCCTTTAGTTCAACTCCCCTCGTGTGGACAGGGTCACCAACCACTAAATAAGGCACTACATCAGGTTGCCGAGGGTCCCCTCCAACCTGGTCTCAAGCACCTCCAATAGAACCAGCTGCTGGGCAGAGAGGGAAGCAGATGTCCTTCCATCCTCCCTGGGATGGTCTGGGAGCATTGCTGGGGTGATGAAGGAAGGAGCTCAAACACCACAGCTGCCTGAGCTGTGTCTACTGGATAAATATGAATACTTGGTCTCTAGGCCTATTAGTCCGGCAGTTTGCTCAAGCACTAAATCCACTCGCACTCAAAAAAGGTACATTCTGCTGCTTTTTCAAGTGTCTTGAATTCTATTGTGTACAAATTTACAAATTAACTGCTTGAGTGTTGACTAACGCTGCAGCCTGCCGTCAAGGTAAGAGCCCATTTATTTATAGGCTCTTCAAGGACAAGAAGATGCTGTGTTTGTACAATCTTCCAGTAGGTGCACTGTGCACAGCCTAACAAACAGTTCCCTACCTCATCCATGTTTTGGAAGAGGACAAGACGTAATATCATAGAATCCTTAAGATTGGAAAAGATCTTTAAGATCACCTAGTCCAATTGTCCACCTACCATCAATATTGCTCACTAAGCCACGTCCCTCAGTGCCACATCTCCATGGCTCTTGAGCACTTCCAGGGATGATGACTCCCCCACCTCTCTAGGCAACCTTGTACCAGTACCCCACCTCTCTTTTTGAGAAGAAATTCTTCCTAGTTTCCAAGCCATTATGAGACCCTCAAGGAAAACACACAGCTTAGTCAATGCCAGCTGGCAGGAAGGCCATGCTATGCCATCAACTTCTGATGATGGCAGAGCTGCAAATGTATAATGCTGTGTGTTTGCAGTCCATAGAATCGCAGAATCATTAATGTTGGAAAAGATCGCTAAGACTATCTAGTCCAACTGTCTGCTGGGACTGTGATCCCTGGATGGTAGGAACTCTCTTTTTCTATTTCCTGGTGATGTTTACTTCAAAGGTGCTTGACCATATGGATAGCCCTAGTAACAAGAGCCCCACAGAAGAATTAATGCGACTCTGATGTGTTTATCCTGAGATCTCGTGGTACCTGACAAAGGAAAGGCATCATCAATTCTTTTTTTTTTATATGGGGGCAAAAAGAGGCGAAATTATTTACTAATCCATGCTCCTGCAGTGAATCAGTGATAGAGCAAGGACCCAGACCTTTCCAGCTGTGCTTTGAGGCTACCTGAAATGCCCACTGGAGCAGTCCTAAAACACTGACCCTTTGAGAGTGTGTCCTGCCCTTGCTGCTTCATGCGGCAGATTTTAGCCTTGCAAAGAACAGCTCACCTTTGCCTTGACCAGGACTGGGGCAGGCAACAAGCAGAGAGATGATGCTTTAGAGAACACTAGTTTAAGTCTGTGGCCAGATGGGTAGAAGAGCACACAGAAAGGGCATGCATAAAATGGAAAGGAGAGACTATGAAATGTTTGGTGGATGTAGGCTTGATAGCCAGTTATTTAACTGGATGTAGAGGAGCATGTATCACCAATCCTTTGGCCACTGGAGCTGATCAGGGATATCTGGACTTGTGTGGGGTACAATACAAAGTCTTAAGGAGATGGGAAGTGTTTTGCATTGGCTGGCAAGGATGCACCTGCATGGGGACAGCAGTGTTGCAGGTGTTCCCTTCCCAGAGCTCTGCTGGGACCTCAGCAGCCCAGCGGCACTGTGTACCTGCATTACTTGCCCCAGATAGTCAGCCACTGCCAATATTTAATTATACAGGGGAAGATATCACTTAGGCTGAGATGTCTTGGCTTCATTAAGGAAGCTGCAGAACTCATCATGCTCTCCCCTCAGGCTCTGTGAAGGAAAATCCTGCTGATGGAGGCTGCCGAGTCTGGAGGGGCTGGGAAGCTGCTGAGCCCAGGTTAGCAGGGGATTTCAAGTCAGGTACACCGGCGTCTGGGCGTTAGAGCAGCAGTGTAACTGAGTTCCCTGGCTGTTTAGATAGTGCTGTGAGCTGATTGCAAAATGCCTTTTGTGCAATGCGAGGCCCTCACTCTGCACCTCCACATATTTCATTCGTGGGGATGAGATAGCAATGAGGTGGTCATTCATTAGCAGTAAATAATCTCTCCCTATCTGAGGTAAGGGTTGTCATGGAATTGCTCTTTCATTTTATAGGGTTCTCTGTGATAAATTTATCTTGTAAAAGGTGATTAAGACACTTTGTTACATTTTAATGTGTCTGTAAGTCTACCTCTAATATCAGCGCTCACTTTGGATCTCTCTGGAAATAGTTAACTATCCCATGTTGTGCAACAAGACAAAGTGTGAGCCACACTTTGCACCACAGTGAGCCAACCAGAAAGCTCCATCCTGTGCTGACAAACCCTGAAGATGGCTAATTCCTATTTTCTGTTTTGCTTAGTCCAGAACTTCTCTATCCAGTGACACACAGAAACAGAGGTGCCCTGGTTTGGGAAGGCAGGCAATTATTTCCTGCCTGAAGGGAAAAAGTTCATGCTACGCTGTGCTTTGTGTTTTCTGCAGAGCAGCTCTGATAGCTCCCAGGCTTTCTCAGCTGTTTGTCAGTCACAGGCTCTCTTCATGGACTATATAAGGAGCCCAAGTACCTCATTAAGAAGGTTTCAATAGCTCTCTGCAGCTACGTACATGGCAATACATAGTGTAAAACCTAAATTAGGTGCTGTTAAAGACTCACAGGAAGGTGTCCAGTGCTTAAGCATTCTGTCTACACAGGAGGGAATGTCTGATCCCAGAAAAGACTCCAGCCACATCACCTCATCTGCCTTTCTCTTCTTTCTTAGCCACTACCCAGAATCTGATTTTTTTTGTGTATGTGACTGGGCACTGGGATGTCACCAGGTAATGCAGACTATTACTTCCTTCCTTCCTCTCACCTAGCATTTCTATTACTTTAATTTGTACAGCTTCAGGCTCTTTTCACCTATTTTAGTCTTCAGAAGACATATTGGTAAAACTTTTTACATAGTTTATTGAGACATTGTGCATCTCTTCTATCCATTTCTGTTACTCTGTGGGTACACGGAGACTGAAAATGGTACCATGGATCGTAGAATCAAATAATCAGAGAATCATTAAGGTTGAAAAATATCACTAATATCACCCAGTCCAACCCCAACCCCCACCATGCCCCTAACCATGCCCCTCTGTGCCACGTCTCCACAGTTGTTGATTCCACTACTCCATGGGCAGCCTGTGCCAGTGCCTCACCACTCTTTCTGAGAAGGAGTTGTTCCTAATATCCAACCTGAACATCCCCTGGCATAATTTGAGACCATTCCCTCTCATCCTATTGCTGTTTACCCTGGATACTTTGAAAGTTGACTGCTTGGAGGGAAAGCCTCTCCCACCCTGCCACATACAGACCTAGATGAAAGTGGTGATCCCTAATAAAGGCAGATAAAATGTTGCCTGATGGTTTTTGGGTGAGAATTAAATGCTCGCTGGCCTGTGTGTCAGTCTCTGGGATGTGCACTTTGCTGCTCTCCAGGAAGAGCAGGGCATTTGGCACAATCCCAGAGAGTGCCCTTCTGCTCTGGTTACAGCCCGTAAGCATCAAATGCTCTCATTCATTTATCGGTGGGTGATAAACAGCCTGGGAAATGCTGCTTCAGTCAGGTCACATTCTTGCTCTTTTATGAATGTGACATCTCTAAAAGTGTATCTGCTAATGTCATGAGAGCCAGAGGAAATCCCAGCCTGGTCCCTTGGTGCTTTCCTGAAAACAGCTGGGTGCAGAATGCACACAGGTTGCTACTTACGTGGCTATTTCTGCAGAAGATGGATGATTTAAACATCAAGGAAAAATCCACCCAATCTAGGATTTCTGCCCTTTAAATATGAGTGTAATGCGTTTGTGATTGCAGCAATGGGATTTCTTGCCTTGAGTTTGTGATCACAGCCACAATGCTGGCTATGCTGCCATATATATCTGCCTTTGGGATGGGAAGGGGAGTCACACAGAAACAGAATGGGCAGAAATTAGCCTGATTCAGGTAAGCAAAATGCTTTTTCGCTTGATCTCCACACCCAGGCTGCCTCCCCTTCAAGGCCAACATCCCTCTAAAAGATCTTCCAATAAAGGAGAAACCTCCATGCCAGTGCTGCATTTAAGGCACTGTTTGCTCCTGGGTGACCTGAGCCTTTTTCTCACCTTGTTTTCAGGAACCTGCAGTCCGGAAGAGAAGCAGCCCTGACATCCCTGTGTTCCTGCTGCTCAGTGACGTGGTTGTGTATGGGATGCAATCAGTGCTGTGCAGCTGCTCCTACATTAGTGTGCATCGGAGGCACTCGATGGGTATGTGCATGATCAAATATGGAGTGATGAGAAGCCTGCTTGTCCCACCTGGGAGGGCACATGCTCCCTTGTGCAGGCTGACCTTGGGGAGGGCTGCTTTTGAGATTCCCATGCAGCTGCTGTTTTGCATTGCAAGCCATATGGCCGGCACCATAAATGCTGTCTCTAATTGTAGCTCTCAACCTGCCAACGTCCAAAGCAGGGAGAAGTGTTGGGACAGAGGGTGGGGGCGGGGGAAAAAAACAAGCATTTGCTTGAAAATGAACCAGGAATCAGGAAAGGGTGAGAAAGGAAGCCCTGGGAGACAGCAAGATTCATTACTTATGTGCAAATCGCCTTTTCTGACCTCAGGTGCCTGACTCAGCTTTTTCCACGTCAATATTTTACAATAGTAAAAGTGAGAATGTACCAGGTGTGGAAAATGAGGGCAAATTTGAGTCTAAAAAAGCAGGGACGTTCCTGCTAATGAAGTACTGTGGAGAATCTGTTCCTAATCAAACCACTAATAGTAACTTTGTTCCTATAATCTGCCTTTTTTTTCAGTAAAGTGGGGTTACATGTTACAGGGATTTGGGGGGATCTGGAGCAGGACTGGATAGGGATTTAAAACAGATTGCTTGGTTCTATTATAACATAATATGAGGAAAAAGGTGGTCCTGGCCCTATCCCTTCCTGCCTAGGTATTGTGTCCATCTATCCTCAGGCAAAGCTGATGCAAAATAACTACCAGGACAAAATGGAGATGCTTTTCACCAGTTCTGTATAGAATTTAATGGGCAAGATTCGAGGCAAAGCATTGCTATGCAGAGGTTATTTAGTCTGTCTTTCCCAAGGGGAAGAAGCATGTGAGCAGCTTCTCTAATCAAACGGAGGCATAAGGATGTCTGTGATAGATTTGGTGCTGCATTCAAAGCTCCGTAAGTGGGTGGTGCTCAGGGAGCAGCCAACTGTGTTCAGTTTTGGGCCCCTCACTACAGGGAAGAAACTGGGGCCCTGAAGTGTATTCAGAGAAGGGCAACAGAACTGCAAAGGGTCTGGAGCATAAGTCTTATGGGGACTGACTGAGGGAACTGGGATGTTCAGTCTGGAGGCTCAGAGAAGATTTATTGCTCTCCACAACAGCCTGAAAGGAGGTTGTGGTGAGGTGGGGGTCAGGCACTGCTCCCAGTTAACAGTGAGAGGATGAGAGGTGATGGCCTCAAGTTGTGCCAGGGGAGGTTCAAGTTGGATATTAGGAAAAAATTATTCTCTGAATGAGTGGTGAGACACTGGCACAGGCTGCCCAGGGAGATGGTAAAGTCACCCCTAGAGGTGTCTGAGAAATGTGGTGATTAGGGATGTGGACAGTGGGCATGGAGGGGATAGGCTGACTGCTGTACTAGATGATCTTAGAGGTGTTTTCCAACCATAATGACTCTGTGATTCTATGATTGAGGTTCTCTAGCAGCCTCTTTCTGTCAGAGGGACAGCTGAGCTTGAGCAGCAAAGGTTTTGGTTCAGCAAAGTCTGGGGAGCACACATCCACAGCCACTGCTGTGCTGCCCGCCTTCTCTAGAGTAACGTGAGGGCAGCATCTCCTTCTACCACTCCAAAAAGAAAGCTCAGAATAAAGCCAGGGTAACCTAAAAGGGGGTGGTTGAGAGACTGTCCTGGTACTCTTTCGTGAGTCACTCATCCCTTCCCAATACACCCAAAGAGAGGGTCTGTCCTGGTTATCAACTTTGCTCCCAGAACTCATTAGCTCAAAGGAAAAAACACGTTTCAGTTCCTTCTTAGAGAACTTTAATTAAAAATCATGGAGAAAAACCCATCAGGAAAGAGAGAAACAAGAAAATAGGTAGACATCTCCACCTCTAATTTATGTGAGTTTAAAACCAGTTCCAAGATTGGCTTAATTACCTGGGAACAATGTATTTCTGCAGGATTGCAGATCAGCTCGTTAGCGATACACTTTTTTTTTACTTCCAGTTGAAAATGATAATACATCCCTCACTCAAAACATTGTCTCCCAATCACCATGGTTACTGCCAGGTTTTCCACAAGGACCCAGCATATTCATCTGTCAAATATGCTAATGGAGAACGGACCCTGTCACACAAAGGAGCAGGCTATTCAAACATACACTTGGCAAATAATTGTACATGTCAAAAGAATGATGCTTGTTATTTGCCTAATATTATCCCCCAGAAGTGGGAAATAGTTCAGCTCTCAATGCAAAATGGCTTGCCCTTATCAAATAGGCAATTTGCTGATAATTTAGACTATTAGAGATCTTGGGGTGGGGAGACAAAAGGGGGGGGTGGGTGGTGAATGTAAGTGGTCTTTTATAATTGCACTGAAAGCAGAATGGGGCATTAAGTGCCCCGGAGGTGCAGTAACGAGGAGCGTCTCGGGAAGCACTGCCGGCCGAGCAGAGGGGCTGCTCACGGCCTCCCCTCTCACCTCCACCAGGTAGCTGCCGGCGGGTGGTTAATTATAATTTAGAATGAACACTTTTATCGACTGCAGGCTTTTTTTTTTTTTTTCCTTATTGCTGTTTATCTTCATGATGGGCCAGTTTCCAATTTGTCTATTTCAGTAATTAAGCCAAAGAAAAATGTTACTGTAGGATTCTTCCAAGTTTCTGAGCTCCTGATGTTAACAGCTGGAGTTGTCGAGATTGTGCAGAAATTTCTGTGGCTGAGGCAGCGGCCTTTTCTCTGCTTTGGGGCACATAAATGCTCATTCCTCATGCTCTTCTACACCTCCTTCCTCGCCTCCATCTGCTCACAGCCCTTCTTCCAGCTTTCTGCCTGTCCCCAACACAGCTTTACCCAAATCCTGTGTAAATCCAGAGTGTTCTTGTTTAGATTTGGCTGAGCCATACTTAAGACTTTTATCTACAATATCCCTGCTGTTCTTCCCCTCTTTGGCTGTGCCCAAGCCCCCAAGGTGATGACCCTGTGACTCTGGCCCCAAGTTCTCTTGCATGGATGGGTACTGAGCAGGGATGGGACCACAAACCTCACATCACTCGTGCTATACAGAGGAAGGAGGAACATCTTAGAGCCCTGTTCCCTCAAACTGAAGAACCAATTAATGTCTCTGGACATGTATGAGGCTTTCAGCCTAAGTTGTAAAAGTGGCAAATACACAGACATCTCTGTTTCTTTGAATAGGATGGACAAATCTTCTCTCAGCATCGTCTCAAGACTGCTGGGCCTTTGCTGTTTATTCCTCGCGTGGTTTTGTATGGAATCATAGAATCATTACCATTGGAAAAGACCATAAAGGTAATCTAATACAACCATCAACCCATCACCACCATACCACTAAACTGTGAAATAGGAACCATAGTATCAGGAGAGGACACAGAATGTATCTCCTTTTTTTCCAGCCTCACCTTTTTCCTTTCTCCCTACCAATTCTCAACATGAATGGGCCACCTAACATAGTTCTCAGCCAGGTTAGATCCCATCTCTTACAAGTAGAAGATCGCTTCTCTTAATGCTATGGTTCCCTCCAGCCTGCCTGGGTCTGCGAAGGCTGGGATGGTGCAGCACAGTCGTGCTCTCCTTATGTGCCATTATTTGCCAGATGTGACTGAGGTACAGTCTTCCTGGATCTTGATTTCTGTCTGCTGAGCCTCCTGGTGCTCTCAGCAATGCAGTTTATTTGCCTTGGGGTGGATGGGAAGGTCTCCCTTTGAGCTGTGAAATCATCTTCTGTTGGCCCTGGTGAAGTCAGACCCTGAAATACACATGGGGAAGGCAAGGAAATGGTAGTGTGGAAACTGAGCGTAGGGGGTGATTAGTAAATGTTGGGACAGGAACCAAGAGGGGTCACATTTTGCTACCCTATGTGCTTGTAGCACTAAACACTAATTTTATGATGAGCAGAAGGAAGAGAGGGGAAAAAAAAAAGACAACTAGCAAGTGACCTAATCAGCTATTAAAATATTTCCAAGCAGTGAAATTAATACAATTCCCAACTCATAACTTATTTGTCTCTGTACAAAATTAACATAGATAAATAAATTAAAAAAAATAACCTCACCCAAACTGCTTCATAATAAAATGTGATCATAGCAATAATAAGATGCTTCAGTGCATGAATTTAGTTGCATTAATTCACCCCCAGGTGTAATTGACAGCTCTCAGCCTTCAGCTTTCTGCTGAACAGCCTACTGCGGCTGAATTATTATACCTGGCACTTCAGACTCTTCCACATCTCATTGCCTAATTGTCTTCTCTTCTAGTAGGCGAGTGTTAAACTCAGACATTAAAGGATCTCTGCCAATTACCTGAAGCTCAACATTTGATCTGCCTGAAAATCTCAGCGGTCCAGGGGAGGCTGCTCCTCCGCCTGCATCCTGAGCACTGCTCTGTCCTTCTGAGGGTGGTGTAAAGCAAGAGTAACTCTACTTCTGGTTGTAAGGGCATAAACAGAGGGGAAAATTGAGGGAATTCGGGGAACAAATGTGTTCACTCTATCCTTTCAACATCAATGCTAGCACTGGTACAGTAGCGGCTGCTAATTACATAGGATTTATAGAAAAATGTATTGCACTCTTTGTTTTCTCTCTGCTGGATTTACAGATGCCATTTGACTGTTGCTTCTGTGCAATACTTTGTAAAAGCAGCAGCTTTTCTGGGATTACCTCCCCACTGTATTGCTTCTGGTGCCTGCAGCTCAGTGATGTGTTTCAATCTGCGGTCACTGCAAAGCCCACGTAGCACAGTGGTGCTTTGGAGACTCTTGTTTGCAAACCAATCAGTTAAATTAAGAAGCTTGATTCTCAGTACTGTGTGATGACATCTCCAATTTAGCTGGTGCCCCAGTGAGGAAGTAAACAAACAATAAAAGTGTCACTATTCCTTCTAGTTCCATTAGACAAACAAGAAGTTTATTCAGCATTTTGGCAAATGAAAATTTAAGCAAACTGTCAAGGGAGACATTTTCCACATCAAATGTTTTCTGAAAGGGGATTATAACAAGAAAGAGCTATCACCCACCATGTCATTATAAACAAAGGCTCCTGTGAACCCCTTTTATTAAAGATTAGCAGCACTGATTACAGACTTTCCAGGCTGAGCCAAAGGCAAATTAGAATATCTTTTGCTTTGGGATAACTTATGCTACCTTCTTGGGCACTGAGATGATTACAAACTCCCGAGAGCAGAATACCTTCACCTATGGCCATCCATTGTCTGCTGTTTAGAAGCAGCCTGGCGATCTGTCTGGACCTATTTGCTGCCTGAGATCAACGCTTCATTCTGCCTTCTGCCATACAGTTCCAGGTGAGATCAGTCAGTCATGCAATTGGGAATCCCAGATTTTGGGCATTTCTCATGGATAACCTTTAAGGCTACTTCAGAAAGCATTTCCAAGCCAAGCGTTAATGAGCTCTGTTCCAGCAGGGACAGAATGGGAAGCTAATGTGGTGCTTAGCTAGCCATGTAAATTCAGCCTTTAGTTCCATGTAGTACCTGTGGGCTTGGTGCAGACTTGGAGACCCAAGAGGCTGGTTGGAAAGGCTGGTAAACATCCAATTCCTACTCTCAACTGTAATTCCTATGACACCCTTGCAGTCCTGCTGGATTGAACGCGTACCCATCTCATCTGCTGACTCCTCCTGCCTCAGAGCCTATCAGACCTCCAGCTTTAGACCTATGCGCATTCCTACAAGCAGGTGGACGCTGCTGAGTTGGCCTCCAGTCCCCTGGATGCATCCCGATCCCAGGACACTGCACTAACAGGCCAGTACTTCTGTCCCACCTTGGTATGCAGGAAGCTGCTCTCCCAGACTTTTTTTTTCTTTTTTTTCTTTTAAGCTAAAAAAAGCTCATCAGGGAATGAGCCCCACCACTTGCACAGTCACAGCATCAGTCTTTGTTTATGTACTGAACTGATGAGCAATTAACTTGGAGAAGATACATTATATGCGGAGCACAAGCCTCTTAATGTGCTTTCTATTAAGGCTGCCTAACACTTCCTATTATTAGACCCCACTTTCTGTCACTTACAACTTTTCCAAATTCTAACCATTTAGGCTGAAATCTTCCCTCCCGAGTGTTGCCTCAGGCTGGCCTGATCATATTTTGTGAGGAAAGCTTATATATGCCTTAGGGAAATCCCCAGGATGGTTGTGCAATCTGTGCTAATGGCTCTGAATGACACTCAGTGAGAAGGGACATGGGTGAGGCCATAGACAAAACTAATGCAAACAAGGCCATGTAATTAGACGGAGATGGAGCTAAGCTAAAGGCAGAGAGGTCTTGTAGAGAGGCCTCTATGATTTCCCACTGCATGCTCTTTGTTCATAATAACTGGAAGAGTGATCCTTCATTGCCTGGTCATGCCTGGTTACATTTTCCTGGACGCAAATTACAATACAGCTTGTCTGACCTCGGTGTCATCATCCCCAGCAAATTGCAGCTGGTTCTCACGTTTTTATTATGGAACACACAGCCATCCAGGGGAGTTATTCTCCCTCTGCTTTTCATCACGTGCACTTTCTCCTGCTCCTGAAGTGGCTGAATGCTTTCATAGTTGTGTGACTGGGAAAAGTGCCATGGGTTAAAGCAACAAAAGGTGTGAGCCTTGTAGGAAAAGGGCAAAGGATGGGGCTGTGAATATCCATAAGGGCCATGGATAATGCTGAGCAGCAGAAATTTTGGTAGTGATTTTGTTCATACTTAGTGAGAGCGGCAGTGAGGCAAGAGGTTTTAGTGAGCTCCCAGCCACCACAGCTTGGATACTTGCTGCAAAATGTAGAGCAGAATGATCCCTGTTGAGCTGCTTTGTCTTCATGTCTTACCCTTCCAGAGATATGTGGAGGGAGGGACCTCTTCCTTCAGACAGCAGTCCTCCGGATAGCCGTCTCTGGGTTGTCTCTGATGGCTTAGTTTCATCAAGATTCCATTGTGCTCCAGCACAGGTGGTATGACAAGCTGCGACCCCATTCCCAGAGGTCTCCCCACAATCTTATTATCTGAGATCCCAGTCCTGAAAATGGACAAGCTTATAAAGCAGCAAATCCCAGGGCCTCTTTTGTCACTGTGGGAAGAGCTGCCTGCACAGAGGATGAGAGCAGGGAAAGCCATGTTGCTTTAAACAAATATGAAATCAGATGCACTGAGGAATAAAAAAAAAAAAAAAAAAAAAAAAAAAAAAAAAAGCTAAACTATGCCAGCAGAGAGTTGGTACAGCAGCATCTCTGTTCCCTATGTATGGCACAGCCTGTTAATGCCTCCCGTATTGGTCTCATCCCTCCCCCAAACTAGACAAGAAGCAAACCCATTATCTGAAGGGCATTTGTCTAAAACTCCTCTTTTGTGCCTTGGCTATCTAGGGCCTGCAGCTGTCACTTCCCATTCTTCCTGTAATTGCTCCCACTACAGCTAATAATGCATTTATCAAGAAGGCTTTATTTATTTATTTTTCATTCTCCCATTATTATTATTATTATTATTATTATTATTATTATTAAGGTATAAAATAGGTCTTTTCCCACTGCTCCAGCAGAAAAACTGGTGAAAAGCAGTGGCTGTCCTGCTCTCCTGCCTCAGAGTATTGGTTTCTCAATATATCGATCCCCCAGAGTAGCCTCTGCAGTGTCAGGTTTTCACCCCTGATAGCTCCTAAAGTGAAGCTCTCACAATTGGACAAAAAGCAATCCAAAAAGCAATTTGCTTTCCCAATAATTCGGTTTCTCCAAAGGCGTGTGGTAGAAGGTATTTGTGCATTGCAAGGAGTGAGGAGTCAGCCTTCCCCAGGGGTTTCCTGCAGTGGAGCTGGGGTCAGAGGGCTTTGAATCCCCAGCCCAGGGCTGCCATGGTGGCTGTAGGTTCAAGGTGTGTCTTCCCAGGACAAGAGGGATTTGGATATCTTAAAGAGAGCAGCTGTTGAGATGTAGCTCTGCAGGCTCAACTTGGATAACATTCATCATTCCTACTTCTCTTTCCTCTTCTATCTACCAGGCCTTTCTGGATGACAAGCTTTGGAAATACCTCTTTTTGGTGGTACACCAAGTCCATGTGCACCTTATGGAAGAGCTGTTGAGATTTTCACTTTATCAATCAAGCGTGCTGTTTTATTTAATTAGCTTCCTTCCTAGTCAATTTGTGGCTATCTTTTCCTGCTTGTTGTAGGAGTGATGGGAAAGAAGCTAAGTCAATCAGTGAACCTACGTGTTCTCCCAAGGCTCTGTTCATCTCCCTCATTTAAATCAACAGAACCTCTCCCCCAAAAGAAGAAACTTAGCTGTCTCCCATTTCTGTCTGCAGTCTGTCTCCTTTTAAACCATGGGGGTATTTCATATATTCCTCAGCTTTTGGCTGCTATTTGTGAATTAATGGGGTGAAGCGATTTCCCTGAACTTATCAGAAAATCCATGTAAGACAGCAGAGAAGAACAGGATCTGGTCCATCAGGTTTACAAATATGGAGTCATGGCTCTCTAGGACACTTCTGATCTCATGGTCAGGCACTGGCACAGGCTGCTCAGAAAGGTGGGGGAGTTACTATTCCTGGAGTTGTTCAAGAAATGTGGAGATGTGGTATGTAAGGGCATGGTTTAGTAGGAAATATTGGTAGTCAGTGCGTGGTTGGACTGGATGACCTTAGAGGTCTTTTCCAACCTTAATGTTTCTATGAACTCAGGTGCTGACTAGAACAAACAAGTGGTCCAGACCCTGGATGCTTTAATAGCCATCTCTTAAGAAAGAGATCTTCTCCCCACTGTCCCATGAATGCATTGATCATTGCTTAGAAATTCAGCCTTTCATTCTGGTGAGCCTCATCCACGTTGTTCAGCAGAG